TATAAGAAATTTGGGAGGTACCTTCCGAATGATGCGTTGGATGTGGTGAGGGGGTTCGATGCGGTGCTTATTGGGTGTGTGGGAGATACAGGTATGTGGATTTTATTTTCTTGGATGGGAGAGGGGGTCGGGAGGAGGTCTGAAGGGGGTCTGAAGGGGGTGAGCTAATAGGATGGTGTTTTATTGCAGATGTTCCCGATCATATCTCTCTGCGGGGTCTCCGTCTAGCCCTTTGTCAACCGTTGCAGCAATATGCTAATGTACGACCTACGAGGATTTTGAGGGGTATTACGTCGCCGCTGAGAAATTGTGAGAGGGGCGATTTGGATTGGGTTATTGTTAGGGAGAATAGTGAGGGGGGACATGCGGGACAGTATGTTAATTTGGTCTTTTTTACCAGTATTCCTGATGTTCAATTTTATCTGAATGTTTTTATTTTGTACCTTTCTGGTTTCCTTATGAAGTTTTGGTTTCTCGTTTCAATAAATGGTCTCTTTTGATAGGCAATCGCTGACTCTCTGATGCTACAGTGGTGGAGTATCTCAAATAGGAGAGAAATGGGCAGTGGCCACTGAGATGAGTGTTTTCACGAGGGAGGAGGTTGAGAGGATTATGAGGTTTGCGTTTGAGACGGCGAGAGGGAGGAAGAGGAAGCACTTAACAGTTGTTACAAAGAGTAATGCACAGAGAAATGGTTTGGTTTTTTGGGATGAGGTGGCTGCAGAGGTAGGGAAGGAGTTTGAGGATGTTAAGGTTGAGAAAGTGTTGGTTGATGGTAGATGTTTTGTTCCTATTGCTTTATTCTATACTCAAACTTCCGCAGACATTCTGCATTCTGCTACTGTAGCGCCTTATTCTAATATCCAGCCAATCGTTCATTTACTGCTGTGATGCCTAAATTCGACTTGAAAGTTGAGAATAATACTCTCCAAACTTTGGACGAGTACTAGTGGAATGTTACATTTTTTAATTGAATTCCGGGCATTCAAATGTCATGTTACAACCTCGAGTAAATCTTAACTATCCCGTACCTACCTACCTACTCACAGTTCTAGCCTGATAACCTTGGCAAGAGCCTCCAGATGTCATTTGTGGTTGGTTACAATACATGAACGTTTGTTGGCAAGGCAAGAGCTACCACGGACCACAGCATATGCAAAGCCTCTTCCATCCACCATACAATTTCTCCGAGAATGATTTTCTGGACCTGCAATGTCGTTAAACTTGATATTCGTTGCACCCCAAGTATGCAACAGGCCGATTATGTTGCACTGCCTGAAGGTGGGCGGTGCGGGGTTGTCTACTTGGCTCAAATGGTTGTCCAGATTGTTGTTCTTGTTCTTTTTTCTCTGTACTTTTGTTCAATCCACGTTTAAAATTGGAATATTTGGTTCGTTTCCATCTTTCTCTTAAGCCCTTCTACCCACTTACAGTGGGATTTCATAAATTGAGTAAAATATGGATGGAATTAGTGCTGCCGCCAGTGTCATTGCAATTATTCAAATCGCTCAAAGTCTAAGTGGTGCCGTCTGGGATTATTACCAAACAGTTCATAATTCTCGAGGTAAGGCCTCCAGCCTTTTATCCTGTTCGGTTTGGTGGTTTGGTGGTTTGCATGATTTCTAACAAGCTTCCTCTATGCGCAGCAGAAATCAAATCTCTCTATTCTGCTGTCAAGACTCTCGAGCTTGTTCTGATTGAGATTGAGGGCGTAGTGCGTTCAGGCCATGTAGAAGCATCATTGTTGAAAAGTCCAAGCAGTGCGCTGCAAAGTTGCAGAAGAAGTCTCGAGGAATTGCAAGGTAAACTAAAATTATCTGGTCGATGCGGAAGACTTGATAGACTCGCATGGCCATTCAAGAAGGCTGCTGTTGATTCTTATGTGGAGAAGCTTGAGAAACATAAGTCTGGATTGACTATCGAGCTAAGTCTTCAAAACTTGTCTGCTAACCCTCTACATATCTGATATATCTCATATATCACAGATCTCTGACAAGTGCCAAATAGATCGATTAATCTTCGTCAATTTGAGCTCCAAAGGCAAACTCTGGACAATATAAGCGTCGTCAAGGACTGGGCCGAGCGGAAAAGAATAATGGATAGGCTTGAGTGCGGCATTCCAACTCTTTCGACGGAGCACAATATTGCTAGAGGAAGGCATGAAGCTATGACGGGCTCATGGCTAGTTTGCTCAAAACGATTTAGGCATTGGATGAATACGGAAAGATCTTTTATGTGGGTAAATGGCCCTGGTATATCCCCTATTACCTCAGTGAGTTATATTTTCCTAGCTGATTAGAAGTCATCCGAAGCCGGGTTTGGCAAAACTGTTCTATGGTGAGCTTTTTCGTCTATGGCCTTTCCCAAAAAGAACTTTTGTTATTATTGTGTATCAAGCTAAGTTCTATAAAAATCGGAGATTCTATAGAAATTAGCTCGATAACTAAGCTAGTGTATGTAGAACTATTTTATATCAACAAGAACAAAGAGGTTACACAGTAATCTCATTCGTCTCTCGATCTATTTCCCACACGGCATTTTCAGGTGCTAATAGAAGGGACTCGATGGTCGCCTTGACTATGTTGGTGGATATCATAATGGATTAATGAGGAACCCTGGACAGTTGAATAACTTTTTTCTCTAGTTCAACCGCAATACACTCTGTTCAAAAACAGCAGAAATATTTACCGGGGTCCGTGGTTGCCTGTTGGCCTTTTACATTTACAGACCAAACAAAGCAAGTTGTGGCCAACTTCCTAAGCTTCAGGAAACGGCATTTGTAAACAGCACTTGCATAGAGCCCAATGCTCCTCAGATCGCACTCGACATTAGCTTATTCTTGAAATTTCGGCTAGAAGACCGGAAGTTTCGTCGCTGGAACCCGGATCTGAAGCAAGAGGTAGAGAGATAACTCGTTCAACAATCTCAAGGAATGTGAGTCTACACTGGAGATATTTAGTTTCCAATCAACAATGTCGGCAGATTCAGTTTTGATCTTTCACTTTGCCTAACCTGCAAATTGACCTTAACATATTCAATCATTAGGTTCAGACTCGCTGCTTTACAAATCGAGGATCTGATGCAGAAGGGGCAAACTGCCTCTGTCAAAAGGGTCTGAGAAATCCTTTTCACAACTCCTCCGACTTTGGATTTGTTCTACGACCAGGTGTTTGCAAGAATAGATGGGTGCTATGCCGATCAAGTCAAATTAGCCTTGAAATTCATAGCTTTCTCGCCACGACCATTGACATTAACCGAGCTTGGTGAAGCCATTCTCCTTCGACCAGAAAACGGAGGCCTATTTGATCTAGATGATCGGTTTCAAGATATCTTAGAACTCTTTCGAATATTACCAATCCGGCTAATAACGATTAGAAACGACTTTCCCGACCCTGCATATTCCAAGAGAATTGGATATATCGAAGCCGATAATATCACAATATTATTTCTCGCTTCACCATATATAAATACCTTATCTCTGATTGTGTCAAGACAAGTGCGGCATCACGATACGGACTAGCAGCTCAGGATGGGTACTCGACCCTGGCCAAAGCTTGTCTCTCTTATATGGCATGGCTAACCATTGAGATAACAGAGCCGTCATGGTTCAAATGTCATATCCCCGGAAACTAGTTCTATTTTGAAGTTAATACTATTGAAGGCTGTGGAACAAGGAACTGAATACACTATCAAAGACATGGAATATTGTATTTTGGGTCTCATCAGTAAATAAACCAGGAGGAAAAGTCGGAATTCCTTGAAAGCAAAGAGTGGATTCAATTAATTGGAACTGGCACCATTGGAAGTGAATGGCGAGCGTTAATTTTCCAATCTGATCTGGAATCGTATCTCGAATATCCAAACCATGGTGGCGATAGGCGTAACAGATTAGGATGGAAGGCGTCTTCGCCTGACCGTTCTCAATATTATTCAAGTATACACAAGGCACATTGGATGAGATGTCTAGATGCAATCGATGCGTTGATTAAGTTTTGCTGGCCATATTGGCCTCAGAGAAGGAAGTTGGCTGGCTTGATTTGTTATTAATGGATTTGTTGGATTAAGTTTTGCAGATGTTGTGATTTTTGTTGGTATTTTTGGCTAAGGTGGTTGTATAGGATCATGCGCTCCTGGAATAGTGTTTTTAATCTCTTTTACTTAGATCAATGAGTTCCTCCGAATCTCTAGCCAATTCCCAAGAGATATGAAGATACCAACTAATTGCCCGTCATAAATGTTGAGATTCTAGTCCACTGCATGATGCATACAAAACGCGCCATTACATACCTGGTAGTATCATCCAGAATAACCAACTGCGCTCAAAGTGTGAGTCCAGATGTGAGCCAATGTATCATTCAAACTATTTAACCTATTCAAATCACTTAGATCATTCAATTAATTCAACTTATTTTAATCCTTTAGTACTGTGCAAAGCATCAATCATTAAGCAGGATGGTATATTAATCAATACCGGTCATTTTCAGGTCTCTTAATAGTCTTTAATAACCCATCTAGTATCCAGTATCCAGTATCCAGTATCTCAATATATACACTACCTAGTATCTACCGTGGTTTGGCTCTTATCATTGATCTCGATGACCTCAAGATGAAAATATCACCGGTTCGAGATTTTTTTAAAAGCTCACCGGGGATAGGTTATGAAGGGGGGCTCACCGGGTGCTATCAATGCCCTTTGCCGATCTACCCTCTAAACCCGAATACCTGGTACGAAGATTTAGAATCGGAAAGGATTCCGATATAAAAGCCACGCAAAAATAACCTGCTATCCCGCTACCATACCATTATAATCAAAGGAGGTGCATATTAGCTTTTGCAGAGTATACCTAGGTCCTAGGTCCTAGCCACGGAGGTACAAGTACCCCACTCCCCTCTCGCGTAAAACTTTTGCAATATTTTTCACGTTGCCCCACCTAATCCAACCGCATGATATACGCATTTAACACACTCTCTCTTCATGCAATCATTAATATGATAATATATCCGGCATGGTGTAGTGGCTAGCATTTCCGCCTCTCATGAGAGCATTCGATTCATCGAATGTTCAGCAAGGTCGCGGGAGACCGGGGTTCAATTCCCCGTACCGGAATTTTTTTGGTTTTTTTTGGAGGGGGGGGGAAGAGTGGTGGCTTCTTTTTGAGGGTTTTTTTATATCACTGAGCGTTAGATCAGGGTGGTTTTAATGATTGGGATTTACGGGGTACAGTACTTTCTTCCCCATATCAAAATTCTTTCTGACCTGACCTGATCATTTTGATTTAGGTTCAAGTATTCGTTTTAGGGGTACTGTACTGTACGTACGTAGCGATTGGCGGTTGAGGGGAGAATAGAATGAATTAAAGAGATGAGATGTATAGAGAGCCATCGAATGTAAGATAATAGAATAAGTAGTATTCGACTTGTCATTACTGGACTATTATTTCTTTATTCTTTTTCTACTCTTTGAATCTGTTGATATATATGCCCTGTATCCACTAGATTAGTCATCATGAGTTCCCTATATAGGATCTCCTGACTCTGTAGAACTTAGCTCTTCAGTCACAACAATATAATGATGTTTATCCCATACATTTAATAGAATTTTCATCTTGTCACTTCCGGTTCCTCTCATACTAGCACTAATGAGTACATATCTATGTAGTAGTTCCTTCTCCGGGCCCCTCAAATTTAAATTTAAATTCAAGTTTATTTATTTATTTTCTTTCTCTTTCTTCTTTTATATTAGTAACAAGAAATAAATTTCTTTTGTGGAATGTATATAAAATATATATGCTTTACATAGTAGTGTGGTATGGTGTAGTGACAAGTGTAGCTATACATCGTTTTTGCTGAGATGAGATAATAAGACGTAATCAATCAAGTCTGAACTCATCTATTCCTTCAAGTTTTTTCCCGATGAACTTTTCTTTCATCTCCTCTCTTTACTCTCAATTCAAAGCCCGAGTATACTACTAGAATAGACTACCTACTAGTACGGCTTCCAATCCAGCTTCCAATCCAGCTTCTAATCCAGCTTCTAGTAAGCCAAACCAAACCAAACCAAACTACTAGATCAGTAAACACCAATACGCTCTCCTCTCTCATAACAAAGAAAAATATCTAAAGAGCAGACTCTAACTACCTCATCTTACATTATCTTACATTACCTTGCCTAGGTAGCTCCCAATAAGCTAAGCTAATCTAAGCAGAGCTGAGCTGAGCTGCGCTGCCAGAGTACTAGGAACTAAGCTCTCCCATCTCGGTTCTACACTTGCAGTAACAAAGAAAACCCATCTATCTTAGCAACTTTATCTCAGTACCTACCTAGGTGTGTTAAGTATGACATGGTATGATCAGTTACGATATCGATATCGAGACCGAGATATTTATTTTCTTTCTTAATTTTCTTTCTTTATTTTGCTTTATTTTTCTTTATTTTTTCCTTGTTTTCCTTTCATTCATTCTGCAATCTCCCTTTACATTTTGTAAAATGCAAAAGGGAAGTTTTCTTTCAGATGTTAGGTTCGGGTTGGGGAATGCATTTCATTTCATTGTTTACCTACCTCCTTTCAACTCTCTCGATTCTCGATTCTCAAGTTTGTGTAGGTCATTGATTTCCCCATATGGCCTACAAAACGATATGAGTGAATAAATAGATAACATCTATCGATTTATTTTTTGTAAAATTTACAAATCATTCAATCGAGTCTTCAAGTTCTTTTTCTTCCCTTCATCTCATACCATCTAGGGGTCTAGTTATTTTCTCAATGCTTGCTTGCTTCCTTCTTTCTAGTTACGGAATTGGATTGTAGATAGGTAGGTAGGTAAGTAGCTTGAATGAAAATCAAAAATCAAAAATCAAAGTCCCCTTCTCATCTCCTCTTCTCTTTCATTGCCTCCCCTTCACTCATTCATCCATTTATTCATTCATTCACCAATCCCAACCCCCAAAAAACATCAAATTCCCAACCCCTCCCCTCATCAAAAGAAATCAAAAGAAATCAAAAAATCCATCACCCATCATCCTTTATCCCCCCTCCTCTCCCCTCCCCTCGCTTAACCCCCCAAACCCCACTGGCCCGCCCGCAAACAGCCAGGCCCAAACACCCTGCACAAAGAACCCAACATCTCGCCTTTCTCTCCCCACTCAATTTTTCCTTCCATGTGTAGAGTGCCCAGTACCTATCCTTTCAAGCTTTTGAGTGCTCAAGTGCTCAAGTTCTCAAGTCCAAGTCCAAGTTCTCAAGTCCTCAATTCCTCCTCTCTTTATCTCCCCAATGCTTTCTCTCTTTCTCTCAAGTGCTCTCTCTCTCTCTCTCTCCATAGACAATACCACCCCTCACCACCCTCACCTCCCTCTTTATCCCCCACAAAGAATCTCCCAACCCTATAACCCGCGCCGTGAAACATGTTTCCAATCTCTGTCATCCTCTGCTATGCCATGCTATGCCATGCTGTGCTATCCTATCCGTTCCATCTCAAGGATCTCCAAGCGGCGTAATCAAAGCAATCAAATAATCCCGTAAACTCGCGCTTTTCCATTCCATTCCATTACATTACATTGCATTACATCCGTCATCCATCACATCACATCACATCACATCACATCAAAAATATCCAAGCCTTACCGGTTCAACAATTCGCGCGAATTCTCGAATTTGCGCTGAAGGGTAATAATCTTTGTTCCAACTTAACCCGCGCACTGGTAGTTGCATTGCCAATTACCAAGTACCAAGTATCCCATCTCGGATAAGACAATACACACAGCGTAGACAATCCCAGCCGCAGCCAGCATGTCATACGGCACAGGATCCGGTGGCGGAGGAGGCAACAAGCCACCGCCAGGCCAAGGATTTCAATGGCCGCCCACCCCTGGAGGTCCAGCATCTGGAGGATTTAGCTATCCACCACCACCTGGAGGACAGGGCGATCAGCCAACCTATCCCTTTCTCCCCCCACAAGCGTATCAGGCACCGGGAGGAGCCGGGCAGGGCCCTGCTCCCGACCAAGGATTTTCCCTTCCCCCACAACCCTCATACCAACCACCGGGCGGGTGGAGAGATGCCCATCCACCATGGATGGCTAGTGGTCAGGGGGGTGACCAGTGGGGAGGGGCGCAGGGTGGTTGGTCTGGAGGCGACCCATTTATCGCAGCAGGAGATGATAATCCATTTGAAGAAGCGATTCAGCAGTACGTGAGTCCGTGGGTGACGGTAGCGGATGGGGAACGGGCAGTGGAGCCCGTGGCGAATCCTTGGGGGTTGATGGGGGGGGTTGATGCATTTGCACCGGTGGTGCAACAACCGGAGGTTCCGCAGAGAGAGGTAAATTGGTTGGGACCGCAGTCGGATCAGATACCGCTGTTCCAGCAATTTGAGAATGATGCTATGAATTGGACGGGTGCTGCTCCGCCAACTTTTCAGGAGCAAAGGGGTAGAGCGCTGCCTGCGACTGGTCAAGCACCACCTTTTTCCTTCAACCAGTTTGGGCAAATGCAACCGGAGGAACCACAAAAACTTTTTGTCAACCCGCTAGAGTATCAATATAGGCATGGAACTTTGGAAGAACAGAGGCCAGAGGCAGGACAAACATATCAACCATCCTATCAGCCGCCACCGCCTGGATTGGGAGTAGGACGTACTGTGTGGGAACAGCAAGGCATTCTTCGACCAACCGGAGCCCCAATTTCCTGGAAAGATACTCGGGCACTTGGTCCTGGCGAGGGGGAGTGGGATCCCGCCGTGATTCAAATGCTCGAGACCGGCGACTTTTCTCAGATTCCAGATATAGAATCGATTGACGAGGGACCACGAAAACCGCGTGAAACAATGGTGGCTTGGAGAAACCGAATAATAACCACGAGGAAAGCCATTGGAGTGGTAAACAGCGATCTTCGAGCGCGACCATATACTTTCCCCTCCACGGCGAAACGGGCAGGTGATACACCGGAGCAATTTAAAGCTAGATTGGCGGCTCGACGCAAGGTGAAAATGCTATGGGAAAGGGATAAAGAAAATCATAAGAATAAAATGGATCACACTCACAAGATGTTCGATTTAGAATATGCAACCAAGTATCGAGCCGAGAAAGCAGCTAGACAATACCAAAATGCAAAGAAGAGAAAGACTGCATTGTTAATTGCAAGACGTGTTGCGGAAAGGGATAATCAACCAAGGCCACCGACACCTGAGCTGCCAGAAGATAGTAGTGATGAGGATCTTCCAGCAATGCCACCCAGGGACAGGACGGGTGTTTTAGGAGGCTCGGGACCTAAGCCTAAACGTTGTTTATATTGTAAGCATATGAGGAAAACATGTTCTTTGGTATCAGGTTCTCCTCGACCTTGTGAGCGCTGTAGAGAACGTGGGATAAGTTGCGAGATTACCCGAGACCTCGAAGATTCAAAAGCAAAGCCTTCCGGGAAGAAAGGAAAAGCGCAACCGGAAACTATTCAAGAGGAGGAGGAAGAAGAAGAAGACGACGAAGACGAAGAACCGATCACCGCACAACAAAGGGCAAGCCTCTTGAGAAAGAAAAGAGCGCAGTTCAACCAACGACCAAAGAGATACAATACTCGGGGCCAGGCGCGTAGGAGAAGCGCAAGCCCTGAGATATCAAGTTACTCCTCCAATAAGACATGTAAACCTTGTAAAGATCAATCAAGGCCTTGCGATGGGGAACGACCATGTGGAACTTGTAAGCTCAATGGTACAGAAGACATGTGCAGTTCAGTCTCATTTCTCTCAAAATATAGAGAACACGACTATCCAAAACCAGTAGATGATGAAATGGACTGGGAATCTGCGCTGGGAAATATCGATGATGTTGTTGATATTCAATGGGATAATTTGGTCAGAACACCTCAGGCAGCAGGAGACGCAATTAGAAATATGAATCTCGGCCCCATGATGAATCACAGCTCAACTGCAATACAAGATTCAATGGAGACCGGGCAGCGAACTTCCTTTTTTCGACAGGACTTCGAAAATAGAGGTTACACTGCGCAACCTTTACAACCAGTACAAGGCGGTCCGTCATACAATCGTTTAGCTACCGTTGTAGAAAATGACACGTCTTATAACAGTCTTGCACCAACGGATCCTGCCCCTG